ATATATATATATATATATATATATATATATATATATATATATATATATATATATATATATATATATATATATATATATATACTGGCAATTCCATTTTTAACTTATGTTACATGCGTAACAACTTTATCAAATATTTGCCTATTTAAACTGTAAATTAAACATTTAGCAAAAAGTTTTAAGTCTGGCCAAAAAAAGAGCGAACTTATTAGTGAAAATGCCACTTAACTTAAGTTACACAGAAAACTAGGTAAAAAAATTGCTTCAACTTTTAGATCAGATTTCTACAAATCAGTAAAGCAGTTTGTATTAGAAACTTTCACAAGATGTTGAGAATTCTTGGCCAATTTAAAAAATATATAAAATTTTATTAGAGGTGATAGCCTAAGGAAAATAAACTTGTTTTTTTCATACTATATTTAACTTACGTTACATCACTTACGTTACTGAGCGATATTTATTTTGAATTTTTTGTATCTTTTATAAAGAGTTACAGTTATGTAACAAAAGAATTGCAAAGTATTGAACTCATCTAATAAAGATAATTAAAAAAAGAAATTTTAAAAAACTGGTGGCACTCTTCCTGAGTGATGTTTCATAACATTTATATATATCTAATGGAAAACAGTTTTTATGCCAGACCAAGAGCTACTTTAAAAAATTATTTTAGTATTACAACTTTATTAATACTTATTTGAGTCATTTAAACTAGAAACTCTTTGGTTTGCTGAAGTTTCCACATCTATATGCATTTTTTACAAATAAATAACAATTTATTTCCTTATTATATAAGTGTTCAGAAAAAACATCAAATATAGGAAAAACATTTTTAAAAGTGAAAAGACGTAAAAATGAATAAATGTAAAAAATAAGAATTAACAAAATTTCTTATACTTCTTATAGTTTCAAGGTGGAAATACACCTTTTTTTTATAAAAAAGTTTTACTAAGTGGGTGCCAGTAAAACTCATGTAACTTTAAATATTATTTTAATTAATTTTGTTCTGTAAAAAGATTCAAAATCATAATAAAATTTGTTAGTATTTGACATTTAACAAAATAATTTAGATTTTGAATCTGATCTTACTTCTGTAACAGATTGAAGCTCACAGTGGCTTATGAATTTTAACTCCAACAAAACTCAGTTATTTACTGCAAACAACTATTGCAGTACTGTCGACATTCCTATATTAATGAATGGCAACCCTTTCACTTAGTCCTCTTCTTTATGTCTTCCTGGATTATCGTTACTAATGACCTTTCATAGAAACCATTTTTTTTTAATACCTTAGCAGATTAGCATCTGCTAAGGTTGCTTCTCTTTATCATGCTTGCCATTTTCTCTCCTGTTTCCATTCAATACCTCTACAAATCTTTTATTTCTCCCTGTATGGAATACTGTTGTCATATTTAGGCTGGTTCTTCTAATTATGTTCTTTCTAGAAAAGGTCCAAAATCCATTGTAAACGTAGTTGGACTAGCTCTATCTGCTAAGCTTGAACCTCTTTCTAATGTTGTAAAGTTGCATCTCTTTCTCTTTTCTACAAATACTATCATGGTTGTTGCTCAACGGAGCTATTATCTCTATTCATCAACTAAAACTCAATCTCGCTTGACTCATCATTCAGCAAATCTCATTTTGTTACTGTATCTGTCTCTGCATGCTTTAAAAGTTTTTATAACTTTTTTCTCTGCACTTTAATGCTTTGGAACTCTCTCCTATCTTCTTGTTTTCCTGACTCATACAACTTTCAACTTTTCAAGTCTTCTGTCAACCGTTTCCTTGCTCAATAACTCTATTCTTTTTTTCTAGTAACTCCTTAATAGTGGTTGCTTGCAGTCTTCTTGGGAGTGAATCAGAATAAAAAAAATAACTCATAACCTTAAAGTCATTGAAAATTCTTTTTTTTTCAATATAATATATTCATTTGCTTGATTTACAACATAAGTCATGAAAAATTTTATGTTTTGATAGGCTTTAACTTTTTATTTTTTGTGTTTTGTTTCTTATTTCTTTTATTTTCCATACAATAAATATTTTTTAACTAGTTTATATGAAATGTACATTAATTTTTTTTTTATTTATGTGCTGTGAAGAATACATTAATTTTATATACTTTACTGACTAAAGAATATAAGGATAGGCACATAGGGTCAGGTACATATACTGACTAATTTTTTAGAGATTTTAAAAGTGTAACAGAGTGTTCATACATTAATTTTGGTAGAGTTTGGTGCAATGAGACTAAATGTGCTAAAGTTTTTGTTTAGGTCAGTCAATTATTACAAAACAAAAAGTTTTTATTGTTTCTAATTTTAATATTGACCATTTATAGAAAAGTTAATGTACACTAAACAAGTCTGTAAAATACAGATTGTGTTCTTAGTAGTCTTGTATACTGTTAATCATTTTTTAACCGTTATACTTTTACTTATAGGCAGTTATGTTCTGTACAATATGATCCGATGGCGATCACAAATAATACCGAATATGTATTATAACTTATATTTTTAAGATCTTAACCGTTTTTACATTAACTATATTACTTTTATTCTTTATATTTTTGTATCTTAAAAACAACAACAACAAAAACTCTATTTATACAAAAATTTTGTTCAATAACAAAAAAACACTATTGTTCAAATAGTCGCCACATAATTGTTATTTAGTTCGTTATAGCCATGTTGGCGCTATTTACTGGTTATATCGATCGTGGTATCGGAATGTTGTTTTTCTTTTATGCTAATTCAATTTTCTTCCAATCATTCTCCCCCTCCCTGATAGACTCCAGTCTATCAAACATTTAATTATGAAACTCAAGAAGACACAATCTTGTAATTGGTCGTATAAATTCTTTTTCGCCAATTTTGACTTTCACAACTCTTACATGTCCATCCTTACCTTCAAAGACTCCCATAATTCTACCAAGTGGCCAATGTCCTCTAGATGTATCTGGAGAAATTACTAACACAATGTCATCCGTTTTTATTTCGCGTTTTTTCTGAGTCCATTTATATCTTTTAGACAAAGATGGAAGCCATTCTCGCATCCACTGTTTCCAAAAATGACTTAGTAGTTTTTGCACTCGACGCCAGCGCTTTTTAGGATGATAGCCTTTAGATTGAACTGAGTCAGGTGCAAATCGTCCACCAACTTGCCCAATCAAAAAATGATTTTGAGTTAATGGAATATCATCATTTATATTGGCACTCTGATATGTTAGTGGGCGAGAATTCAATAAACTCTCAGCACCTGTAAATGCCGTACAGAGTTCTTCATCTGTAATATCGGCTTTTTCGAGTATCCCAGTCATTGAACGTTTGACAGCTTTGACCATTATTTCAAATACACCGCCTAGATGAGGTCCTAACAGAGCATTAAAGTGCCACTTGATTCCTTTATCAGCTGTAGAGTTAGTAATTTTATCCTTACCTAAGTTGTTGACAATTTCGTTTAGTTCTCGACATCCTCCAACAAAATTTGTTCCATTGTCCGTTAAAACTTCTAATGGTAATCCTCTTCTAATGACCATTCAATAAAAGGCATTGAGGAATGAATTTGTATCTAGATTATTTCAAGATGTACTGCTCGTGATAGTAAACAGGTAAACAAGCACAAGTATCTCTTTTGTCGTATCTTCCCTCTACCTTGCATAGTAAGAAATGGACCAGCAAAATTGATACCAATTCTAGCAAACGCACGTAGTGGTTCTTTAAAGCGCTTTGCTGGTAAAGGGGCCATCAGCTGTTGAGCAGGTTTATATATTCTTAATTTACATTTGTTGCATTTTGCTTCTGCATCTCGGATTTCTTCTCGTCCTTGTATTACCCAATATCGTTCTGATAGTTTTGTTAATAATTGATTTGTTCCCATCACATGATTGGCTTCGTCATGGTAATGCTTAACAATCAATTTTGTTATTGTATGTCCTCTCGGCAAAATGATTGGATACTTGACATCGTAGGGTAAGTAATGGGCATTTTTCAATTGACTGCAAGATCGCAATAATCCGTCTTCGTCAATTTGCGGATTTAAAGAAATAATTTTGCTTGATATCGGTTTTCCTTTTTCAATAGTTGCTATATTCTTTCTTTTTGAACTTTAGCTATGATTTCTTTTTCGCTTTCATGATATTCATCAGCTGCTATATCACCCTTTTTACGAAAGTCTGTTTCAAATCGACAATTTCCTATAAACCGATGGATCCAGCCGTTTATCCTGACAAGTTTTTTCCAACATGAGAACTTGTTTATATCAAGCAATTGCTTTGTTACTTCAGTGGATAATCCAAAATTCATTAATACTAGATTTTTCTTTACTTCAATTGAAGCCTCTTGTGTAACTTCAATGTGATTCTATGGCCATTTTTTTTCTAAAGAATTAAGGAGACTTGGTCCATGCCACCATACATTATTGCTTTCTAATTCTTTAACTGTTGTTCCTCTTGTTAGTAAATCAGCTACATTAGTTTTTGTTGGTATGTATCTCCATTGTTTTAGTTCAGTCTTTGATTGAATGAATCCAACATGGTTGGCAACAAATGGTTTCAACTTTCGACTTTGATTTTTTATCCACCATAAAACATTAAGACTATCACACCATATAGTTATGTCCTTAGTTTCCAGCTTCAATGCCTTGACAATCTTCTCTGCAAGTCGTAAACTGAGGACAGCTCCAAGTAACTCAAGTCTTGGTATACTAATAGATTGCAATGGACTTACTCGGGCTTTTGACATTATGATCACACAGGTCACTTCTCCTGTGTCATATAAACATTGTTGGTAAGCAATAGCACCGTAAGCTTTACAAGAGGCATCCGTAAAAACATGAATTGACCTATTTGTTACTGTTGAGGTTGTTTGTAAACATCTGGGAATGTTTATTTTTGGGAGATCGTTTAGTTCTTGAAACCATTGATCAACATTATTTGCAATCCTATCCGGAACTGCATCATCCCACTCAATTCCATCAATCCCCAGTTCTTGCATAATTATTTTGATTCTAATGATATATGGTGCCAAAAAACCCAATGGATCAAACAACGTTGCCATTTTTTAAAGCAAAATTTGTTTTGTATATACTTTATTTTCTTCGGTTGTTACAGAATGAAAACTATATAAATCAGGTTTTGCTTTCCAGACAACTCCAAGTGTTTTCATTGCAGGCAATTCTCCAGAATCTAAATTTATATGTTCTGCACGATCATTTTCTGGTGTTATTTTAAGAACTTCGACCGAGTTTGAAAGCCACTTTCGTGCAAGCATTCCTGCTGAACCCCATAGTAGCGTGAGTTCCTTGTATAATTGAATTCCTACTTTTTCATCAACTACAGAAGTTATTGTGTCGTCCATGTAAGTTGCTTCAAGAACAGCTTCAGAAGCCAAAGGAAATTTTTTTGCATACTTTCTTGCGTGTTCTTGCGTTACAAATTGAGCCATAAAAGGCGCTGAGTTGATTCCAAATACGAGCTGGTTAAACTGAAATACCTCAGGCTCGGCAGTTGAATCTAGGTTTCTCCATAAAATTCGTTGGTACCTTTGGTCATCTTTATGTATTCCAATTTTTAAATACATTTTTGCTATATCACAAGCTAAAGCCACTGGGTATTTTCGAAATCTCAGCAAAACAGTCACAAGGTCTTGTTGAAGTTTTGGACCTTGATAAATAACATCATTAATTGATTTACCATTATATTTTGCAGATCCATCAAACACAATTCTGACTTATGTAGTTGATTTATCAGGATGAAGAATTGGAAAGTGTGGTAAGTACCAACCATCTCCAAGATCCCTTTTATTGATTTTCTCCAAGTATCCTTTTTCTTGATACTGCTTAATAATATTATTGTACTCTTCTCCTAGACTTTTGTTTTTCATTAGCCGTTTTTCCGTATTTTGTAATCTGTTTAACGCCATTGTATAATTATTGTCCAAATGTCTTTTCCATAGTAATTTTAGCTCATATCTTTCGTTCTCAGTTTTTAGCGAATTAGTTACTATATTAAGGCGGTAGAGTCTTCTGGACTTGTCATTATTTTTCTAAATTGCATCTCTTCGTTGCCTTCAATTTCCCATAGTTTTTTAATGGTGTTGTTTGCATCTTCTATTTCCTTTGTACTAGATTATTTTCGTAAAATGGGTTTGAAGAGATCCACCAGTACCACCAACACATGTCCATCCGAGCGGCGTGAGTCGAGCCACTGTTTCATTAAATCCTCCTTTTACTTCCTTAATTGCACAGTGCAGCTCAGCGTAATCCACACCGATTAGAATGTCAATTTTTGGTTTTGGTCCAATATTTGGGAATTCGATTTTTCTTAGACGTTTCCAACTTTTTGACATATTTGCCCAATTAACTGCTTTTAAGTTTCCAGTTACATTATTAATTGTAAAAGCTTCCACTGTAATTTTTGTTTCTCCATTCAACGATTCCAACTGAAATTCTACCGGCATCGTTTCGAAAGAATCAATTTTTCCATTTATCATGTTTACAGTTATTTTTTCGGTTTTACCTTGCAGTGACAACTCAGCCGCTACATCAGAGTTCAAATATGTCTTGGTACTTCCATCGTCAAGCAATGCGTTTACCACAACATTTTTATATCCATTACGAAGAATAACTGGCACCGTTCTAAGAGATATGTAGTTCATGACGTGATTTGAATGAAATTGGATGTTCGACGTATGAGAATTTTCTAATATCGTGTCTTTTTCTTTGTAGTCTTCAGAAATTGTTTCTTTTTTATGACTTTTCTTGTGAAGCAAACGATTTTGGGTATCTGTACAGCCATTAATCCCACAAATTCTTGTGTTTCTGCATTCTTTTGACGAATGGTTAGAATTTAAGCATCTAAAGCAGAGTTTATTTTTCTTAGCTGTCTCCCATCTTTCTTTAATATTTTGATTTTGAAACGTTGGACACTCCCATATTTTATGATCGTTTTTGCAAACAGAACATTTCTGTATCCAATTTATTTTCTTTTTTTGATCACTGTTACCAAAGTAAGAATTTCCTTCGTGTGCTTTGCTACCAATAGTTTTTTTTAAACCATGTAGAGTTTCCGTTGCTGCAATTTGAAAATCTGCTTCTTCAACAATAAACTTTTTTAGAGTTTTAACATTTTCGTTTAATTTGTTTTCATACACCCATCGTTTGTATCTAATTAACATTATCTCAGGAACTTTTTTTTGCAATTGATGGTACAATGTCCCATCGCCAAGTTCTTCTGTTCGATTTGCTTCTTTTAAGTTTTTTACTGCCACATCCAACAAATCTGCTAACTTTTCAACATCTTTTGGATTATTTTCCCTCATAGGTTTAAAGTTGTTCAATTCATCCAAATACATAAGGATTTTTCTCCTTGTTCCGCCATATTTTCTTTCAAGTCTTTCTTTTGCAGCTTCATAAGCGAATGACGAATGCTCAAGTCCTTCAATTGCTTTTAATGCATCTCCACATAAATATTGATGTAACTGAAGTAATTTATACTCAGATGTTGCTGGGGCTTGATCAATGCATGCGTAGAATGAAGCTTTCCAATTTTCATAGTTCTTTTTATCACCATTAAATATTGGTATAGAAACGGGTTTGAGTTGTTTCCATAAATCATGTCCAATTTTTGCAGTCTTTTGATCCAAATCTATTTCATTTTCCATTTTACATATGATATGCGTTGATTTGATTGGTTCCATTTCGCTATTCCCATTTTCTTCTTTATTATCTTCATCATATCGTTCATTACTTTTTTGAGTACTTAACCATTGATGACATTGCTTTTTTGTTTCCATTTTAAGTTCTTTTTCCATCCTTTGTTGTTTTAAACTTGAATTTAAACTTCCATTGCGCAATATCCATTCATTTACATGTTCCATAATTTCCCCAAATTCGTCGTTTAGTTTTTCAATTTCTGTATTGAGTTTTCCTACATTTTCTTTTGATTCCAGAAGTTTGTATTTCTTTGATAATTCAACCATTATCTCGAGAGCTTCGTTTTGAGTCTTTGTTAATTGATTACTCAATTCGCGTAACTCATTTTTACAAGTGGGTTCATTGTCTCCAATTTGCTGAATAATTTGATGTTTAGTTAGTGTAAACGAAGACTTTAGAACTATTTTCTTCCTGTTCAATGCAAATACTTCATTTTGAACGGTTAACTGATCTTCTATTTGGTTATTTGATTTTTGATTTTTTCTTTTTACCATTCTTCCGTGTTGAAGAATCTACCCTCTGCTACCAATTATGATCCGATGGCGATCACAAATAATACCGAATATGTATTATAATTTAAATTTTTAAGATCTTAACCGTTTTTACATTAACTATATTACTTATATTCTTTATATTTTTGTATCTTAAAAACAACAACAACAAAAACTCTATTTATACAAAAATTTTGTTCAATAACAAAAAAACACTATTGTTCAAATAGTCGCCACATAATTGTTATTTAGTTCGTTATAGCCATATTGGCGCTATTTACTGGTTATATCAATCGTGGTATCGGAATGTTGTTTTTTTTTTTATGCTAATTCAATTTTCTTCCAATCACAATATACTAAATCTTTTTTACTTATAGGCTTTGTATGAGCGACTGTTCTCCTGGATTGTCACAAAAATTAACAGTGTAATCGATCCTCAACATGGTAAAAAAAAAAAAGAAGGAAATAAAGTTATTGGTGTCTTGGATATTTATGGCTTTGAAATATTCGATGAAAATAGTTTCGAACAATTGTGTATAAATTATTGCAATGAAAAATTGCAACAGTTATTCATTGAACTTGTTCTGAAACAAGAACAAGAAGAATACAAGCGTGAGCAAATAGAATGGGTTCAGGTAATGACTTTTATTTCATTAAAATATTATAGTATTTTTAAGTACTTCGATTAAATCAAAGGTATCTAAGTTGCTGTCTCTATTATGCAGTAAAATACTTAAGTATTTATTATACATGTTTAAAAAATAAGGTTCTTATTATCAAGTTAGTATTGAGAGGTTGAAGTGAGACTGAAAGTGTATATTATTAATGAATTGCAATTCATTTATATTATACACACCAAATTGTTTAATGATCGTTAATACAACAAAATAAAAAATTTGAGAAAAGATATGCTTTAGCTAATATGATAATTTTAGTTAATAAGATGACACAAAAGAAACTAGCTCTTTAGAGCAGCACTGGGTTTATGCTTTTCATAGTATTAATAGTAAAGAGAAAGAAAAAATACATTGCACAATGGTTTATAGTAAACAGAAGTTTGTTTTCTGGAGAATTGTTTTGTTTATGAAACTAATGGTTATAATTTAAAATAGCAGCAGCACAATGAGAGGAAAACCATGGAGAGGAATGAGGTTCGATTTGGAATCGTTGAGATGGAATAAAAGATTTCATGCCATCCTGAATCCAAGAAGTTACATTAGAACCACATTTGTCAGCAAGAAGATAAAAGAAATCTACCCAAGGGCCATCACAAAGAAAATCACAGAAAGGGTCTCAGTCAGCTTTAATTTAGTTTTAAGAGGTACCATGATAAAGGATTCTGATGATGAAGAAGAATGAGATAATAGTTTTAAAGATATCAATCTGTGATCAGAAGCACCTAAGAGTGAATGTAGAGAGACTGAGCACTGACCAGGATCAGAAACAAGACATAAGTCGAGTAGAAAAGACAAATGATTCTGGAAAATGAGTTGGAAAGTTGACTATTTGTGTTAGAGATTTAGAAAGACCTTAGTACCTTAACACCTGCTGAGTCACTGACTCTAGAACCAAGCTATTCAGAGTGAAGATTATTAAAGTCACCAACAACAACAATATTGAGAAATATAACGATAAAGAGAAAGGGCTTGGTCGATTTGATCAGAAATAACATCGAAAAGAGGGCCATTTTGAGATGAGCAAGAGCGATATAAAACAAATAGAGTGGTGAATGAAGTAATGCTAAATGAAAGCACATAAAAGAATAGTCTGTGGATTCAAACCTAGTTTCCCGACAAATAGGTGAATTCTTACGAATGTAAATGCCCAGGCTAAGCATGTGACTATTGGAGTCAAGATAACTATCAAGATTAAAAGCAAGATAACCATCAACACTAAGACCAAAAGATGAGACAACTGAAATCAAATTATCTCACAAAGAACATCTAGGTCTGGTAAACTTTGCAGAAGATAAGACTCAACAGAAGAAAAGAAACTTCAAAGACCATAAGTATTAGTTAAATGATAGATTTAGAGAGCTTGGTGATGGCGATAGTTTTTTGTGTTTTATAGTTTTTGATACTTTAGTCATTTTTTAAATTGGCTAAAGAACATGACTCAAAACATAGATAGTATTCAGTACACTATTTAATAGTCCGAACAATTGCCTCATTACTATTAATAAATCTTAAGCCATAACAAAGGGTTCCAATTGTGACCTAGACAATGCACATCAAAAGTACAAACAGGGACACCATCCATGCACATCATGGCACTGTTAGTACTCTGATGTTTTACAGCTGTTGGTAAAATCAGCCATTCTGAGACCTACCATAGAGTTCAAGAAACCTGATTGCAAGCTGGCCTCATTATAAAACTGAGTTTTAGTGCTGTACCCTCATTTGGAGATAATAGGATGAGTTGCCTAGTCATAAAAACAGTGACACTAGCAAAACCCATACATTTAGCCAAAAAAATTCAACATCCCAAACTGGAAACAATGTATTATAAATACATCTACGCCAGCTTAATAGATAAAAAAGGGGTTCAAAACTGGTCAACAGATAGAATCTGTACACCTCTTAAATGTGACTAAATGCAGTGTTTAGTTCAGTATCTTTATGTTTATACATATGTAAGTTATTTACTTTAAAGTATCTATACTGTAAAGATAATAAAAGTATAATAAACTCCTGAAACATGAAAAGAAGTAAAAAATGTTGGTGCTGTTGTAACCAATTAAATTTAAGCAGTGGATATATGATGATCCTCCATCCTCAGAAATGCATTGTGATCACCAATAGATGTCACTCATCAGGTGCATGTTCTTGTAACATATCTCATATGTGTGTATATATATACATGTATATATTGTCCATTTATTTAACCATAGAGTATGAAAAATTTACAATAAAAACTAGTCAATGTAGTGAGAGTCAAAGGATGTTGGGTATTTAGTTAAAAATTCTATATATATATAGATATATATATATACATATATATATGTATATATATATGATGTGACTGGTCGTAATCTGGAGAAAATACTGAGTATTGTAAAGATATCATCTGGCACTGGACTGGCACAAGCAAAAGCAACCTTTCAGTTACTGACCATATGAAATGTTGCAAATTATATTGTCGGTATGTGTTTTGACACAACAGTGTCAAACACCAGTTCCAAAAATGGTGCGTGCAACTTGCTAGAGAAGTTGATGGAGAAAAATCTTCTCTACTTTGCTTGCCATCCCCATATGCATGAAGCAATTATTGGGAAAATATACTCAGTTTGGACCCAACATAGCTCTATTTGAACAATTTCAGAAGTGTTGGCCAAGCATAAATCAAGCCAATTATGCTCCTTTAGATGACGTCATCTTGCTGAACCACAGCTTCAGCAACTTAGATCAGAGGCTGGCTCCTTTCTGCAGCCTTTCTTATCAGATGACTCTTCGCACTTACCAAGAGAAGACTAAAAAGAGATGATCGAGCTGTGCCTTTTTAATTTTGGGTTTTCCTTTATCAGACTATGCCACCAAGAAGTATAGCTTTCGCATGCCGGGAGCTTATCACATGGCTAGATAAATGGCTAAAGTCATCTATTGTATGAAGATATACCTCTTAAAAAATGAATTCAAGCTGACTATGAAAGAGCAGAACAACTGGTGCGAATTTTGTATCGTTGCTGCTCATATCTATGTACCAGCATGGATTGCCTGTCCAATTGTAAGTGATGCTCCAGCAAATGACCTGATGCTCTTCACAAGAATTAAAAAATATTCTAAGATCAACAAGGTCATTTCAAATGCTGCTATGAAGAAGCTTCAAAATTACACTTGGTAGCTTGGGTCAGAAATGATTCCACTTTCATTATTTTCTGACAGGGTTTGTGACACAGAAAAAAAGTTAATTGTTGAAGCTATGATTCAAAGTGGAGCTGATTAGAGTGTCAAAACAAAAGTTGGAAAAGAAGCAACTTCATGAGCTTGTTACATCATCATCAACTGCTGCTTTGCAGTCACTTGGTCTCGATGTAACCATTTTATCTGGAACCGATCCAAAAACCTGGGAGGAATTTGCTGAATTTCATTATACTAAGGCAATTGTTAAATCTGTGAAAGTTATCAATGACACTACTGAGCGTTCTGCCGCTCTCAAACACTTTAAGGTATATATATATATATATATATATATATATATATATATATATATATATATATATATATATATATATATATATATATATATATATATATATATATATATATATATACATTTAAATGTAGCAAGTAGTAATTTAAGGTTTTAACTAGGTTGAAATATATCTTTTACATAAAGAGTAAATTATTAGACATTGAAATTTTTTGTTATGTACCAAATAAGCCCTATGAATGCTTTGTTTTTATTTTTAGTTTACTTTGTTGTTGAACTGTATTTAGCCTTGTCCATAAAGTTTGCAGATGGGTGTTTAGAGTGTCTAGCATATAAAATTTGCTTGCTCTTGTTTGTTCTTGTATATACTTTGGGTTTTAAGTATTTCTATTTTTTTATTTTAAACGTGTTGGTTTCTAGCCCAGTAATGTTTTGGTGGATTAATTTCCTAGATTTCTTTGTTAATATATTTTCTGGTTATTCATATCATGCAGTATTGAGCCTACAGTCTGAGTTTACTTTTAATTTTATTTATAAGCAAGCACTACTTGAAAATAAATATGTTTAAAATATTTATAGATTTTCTTAAATCTATAAATATATATATTTATAAATTTTTTTAAAAATTATGCGTAAAATTTTTTTGAGTTATAAAATGTAAATACAAAAAATTAATTTTTTTTTGTAAGAAGATAGTTTACATGACCTTAAATTAACTAGTTTAGATAGTTTACATGTTTATAACATTTTATTTTTAAAAACATTTAGGTAGAATACTTCAACAACAAAATTATCTGTGATTTAATAGATCAACCTCATAAAGGAATTTTTTCAATACTTGATGAAGCTTGTTTGAATGTCGGGAAAGTAACAGATCAGGTTAAATTAATTTTTTTCCAAAGTAGAATATTGTTGCATAAACATATCATAAACACATGATGTAAGAATTGTGTTATTTATTGCTAATGTGTTTATGATTTTGTGATTATGATTAACTTATAAAGTTATAAATTAAATATTAAATTTCAGAAAAAGAATTATATTTATAATTGTTAATTATTCTCTTGGAAATAAATAGACAATACAAGATTTGATCACAACATCTTTTTTCTTTTTTTCTTTTATTCTTATACTATATCATATATTCTTAGTGATGGTAAATAGCTATGATACTCTTAGTGATGGGTGATGGTAAATAGCTATGATACTCTATATAGCACCCTCCCTTTTAGAGGTCTCTGCATTTTTTTATTGTCTATTTATTTGTTAGTTATACTTTATTTTTATTAGTACTATTGTTATATTCAAAAGTAATATTTATGGCTTTATTATTGTTGTATTTTTTAAACTATTACGCATAGTGTATTTGGTTAGGGAGCAAGTTTATTCCTCAAGGTTCAGTGAGTTCTAGTTGATGTTTAAACCTCAAGGCTCAGTGAGTTCTAGTTGATGTTTAAACCTCAAGGTTCAGTGAGTTCTAGTTGATGACCTTAAAATTCAGTGAGTTCTAGTTGATTTTTGCACCTTGAGGTTCAGTCAGTTGATGTTTATTATTTTGCATCTTTGATTTTTCTGATAAATAAATTTTCTGTCTATCTTCTTCTGAACAATTTTCTACCTAATTCTTGAATTTTATTTTTCCTTTATTTTATAACAAAGTTTTACAAAATCTTTGAATCACATTAATTAAAGTTAATATTATAAATAATAATTTCAAAATACTCATATTAATATTAAAGTTTTTTTTTTTTTTTCAATATTAAATATGAAAAAAATAATATATTACCAAACAGGTAGTCAATCAATACCTGTTTGTTCTCAATCAAAAAATGATACAAAATTAGATGCAAAATTACACAGTGTAGTTTTTAGTATAATAAGTGAGACTGAATTATTAGCGAAGGAACACATAATTTGAGGATTAACCAATCAAGAACTATTTTAAAATTTTCTTTCGAAATCATTGAACAATATATTATATAAGAAATTAAAAAACATCAATAAAACACATTTTATATATACTTTTTTTCATGCACAAAATTTTTCCAAAACATGTTTTAACCAATCCATTTGCTTAGTCCATTTATTACTAATAACAAATTTATATTGTTTGTTGGCTATCACACTAAAACTTAATATATTGTTTGTTGGCTATCACAGTAAAACTTAGTAAATTATTTGTTTAATAAATTGTTTATGTTATCACTATATTATATATTAAAATAAAATTTATTATTTATGAGTAAAATATTATTGTAAAGGAAAAATGTGCAAAATAGAATTGAAATAAAATAGTTAAAAAAAGCAATGTGATGTGGAAAAAGAATCAAATTGCTTATTATTGATGTTTGCATTTTTTAGATGTTTTTGCATGCTATGGATCAAAAGCTTGGTGTTCATAATCATTATAAAAGCAGACAGGTCAATAAAGTTGTTATTTTTGTTCATATTTCAAGTTTTTGTATTATAAATATTATATATATATATATATATATATTTTTAAATAAAACCCATATTTTGTTTTATTTTATTTGCAAAATACAATAATTTTTTTTAAATCGTGTTTAAAGTTTGATAGATTTCATTTTTTAGTATATAAATGGTTCTCTTGTTATTAAAAAAGCTATTTAACTCAAAAACAAAATTTGTACCAAGTGTACTAAATAATTTAAGTATAATGTGCTATAAAGTAAATTGTTAACAAATAATCTGTAACAAAATAATTCATTAAGAATGGAACCCTTTCTGCATGAAAACAACTGATAACAAAAATGGTTGCTTGCATTGACTTTTTGACAAAAATGATTAACACAGTTAAAACTATTTGTCATTTTTTTGACAGAGTATAATTATATATGACAGAGTATAAATACTAATACTATAAATGATTAATACTATAACGATTACTTATATAACTTTTTTTAATTGTTTTTGTTGTAAATTCAATCCTGATTATCAAGTTTGTTAGGGGTCATCCATAAACATAAATGTCACACAATTTTTTCCAATTTTGGAATAGCCGCAGTTGAGTGTACATCAACTGATCGTTTATGTTTTAAGCATTTTTTTAATCAATAGAAAAGATTTTCTAGATTTGAAACTTGAAAAAAAAAGTTTTGTGTTTCACAAAATCGAATACCTTCTCCCCTCTGTATCAAATTGTCACAATATCGCTAACCCTCCTTATTGCGTGAGGTAATTTGTGGATGATCTCTTAATTCAAATCAATATTTATATTTTATATATGATTATTTAAAAATCATGGATTTTTATGCATTTTATTAGAGTCACTTTCTAAATTGTATTTTAATTTTTTACATTTTAAGTATAATTACTTAAAAAAATAATATCACTAATGCTTTCTCCCCTCATTTTTTTGATAAAGTTAAAATTTAAAAACTTACGAATCTTAATCTAGTGCAACAAATCAAAGATTTTTTCAAAGAAGTTATGTTATTATTTGATGTTAAAGATTTATAAAGTTTTCTCAACAAGTCCTAAAATAGTTTTCTAGATAAAAATAAAGATGATTTGTACCAACACTTTAAAAGATTGCTTTACAATATATATATATATATATATATATATATATATATATATATATATATATATATATATATATATATATATATATATATATATATATATATATATATATATATATATATATACACACAAACACACACACACATTAATAAATATAAAATAGTAAAAATTATTATATTTTAATAGAAAACCACAAAATACTCAACTACACTACCATGTGATTAGTGTTGTTTGGTAATACTTAATTATAAATACAATAAGTTGCTACAATTGGTACTTGTTGAATAAATAAACTCAAGCTGATAAGATATAGAAACCTATATAAAAAATTATAAAAACAACATAACCATACAGAGTTTAACGCGCCCATAGATACCTAGATCATATTTTGCTAATCAATCAAAAACAGGTTTTAAATAAAATGTAACAATAACAATGGCAATAGTAAGCAAAACCATTACAAGGTCAAATGTCTAAAACTAGATAGAGCGGGAAAAAAAAAATTATATATGTTTAAAAAATGACAACCTAAAAAATAAACATTTTTGCATATATATACACATATGCATACATACATATATACATACATATAAATATATACACACACATAACTATGGTTGTCGAAGTAAGTATTGCATATTCTAGTTCAATAGAGTCAAGTATTACTAGAAACCAGCGTAAACAATTCTATCACTGAACTAAATCTAGCCAACCCAGCCATATGTTAAATTACCTATGATAGATTTAACATCTATACAGAGGATTTATATTATCTTCTGGTTCTAAAAGCTAGCTCAGACTTGTACCAGAAACAAATGTATTTTCCTGTAGAAACAGCAATTATATATGTAACTGCATCTATGTATTTTAGTCATATTACTAGAAACCAGCGTGAAAAATTTATCCCTGAACCATATTCAGCTAACCCTGAACCATATTCAGCTAACCCAGCCATACTTTAAATTACCTATGATGGATTAAACATTTATACATAGGATTTATATTATCTTCTGGTTCTAAAAGCTAGCACAGACACCTACCAAAAACAAACATATTTTTTTGTGGAGACAGCAATTGAAATTCATTTCTGTTGCAACACCCATATTTTCAGCATCAAATGTAACAGTAGATGGATAAAATGTTACCAATGATCAATAACGTTTTTAAAGCTTTTCATTTTTGATTGATTATTTTTCTCATTGTGTTATTATCCAAATAAACTTTTTTTGTGGAGTTCTTAAATTTAAGTCACATTTACAAAAGCAATGAGTATGGTCATCCTAAGATTCTAAAATTACATAAAGCATCATCCTCACTGCAGTAAACAGTTCTGCATTTGCCAAAAGCAATCTATAAAAGTTGGCTTTTTGAGTTTTGTGTCAAGCTATTTTAAAAATCAAGATAGCTTGACACAAAGAGTCTTAGTTCTATAACTTTAGTAAACTATAAGCTCTTTAAATTCTGTTTCAAGAAAACATTTTTTCAGTAGCAAGGGTTGCTTTTTCAACTCAACTTTCAACTTTTTTTTGCCCTTCAACTCAAGCTTTATGAATACAAAGGAATAGCAACAAACTGAATAAAAACTTAAACATGTATATTGATTAAAAATAGCTTTTAGTTTTTTTTCCTTTTTAATTTTTATATAAACCTTTTGATATAAAACTCATATTTTTCTGTCTAGTAATATTTGTAGAACTTAATTTATGTAGATTAACAAAAAATTTGAAAAGGAAATTGTTTTTTATGAGAGTTTTAGCTTTTTAAGATTTTTGATTTCTTAACTAAAAAAATGTTTTGATTTATTATGGCTTTGATTTCCTATTTAAAAAATGCATATAATTATAAATGCATCAATTAATAAATTCTCTGAAAATCACAAAAGTTTTAGACAAAAATATTGTTAATTGATCATTTTATTTCTCTTTTATGATTTTTTCAAGATCCTCTCACCCCCCTCCTCCCATCTAACCTTTTTCTTCAAACAATATTTAATCAATCTGTTATTTCTTATTACTATATATTACATATTATCAAGTGATTAAATTTAAGAGGAAAAAATTTCTTTTTCCCACTTTTTTAAATATAATGAAGAGTTTTTTTTCTTTGTAGTTCATTTTTAAGTTCACTTTGCATTTAAAAGTCAATTTTTGTAGACTGACACAGCAGACAAAACTTTGATGCACAATAGAGATTTCCAAATCCAACATTATGCTGGAGATGTAAAGTAGGTTTATAAATTTTATATATTTTGGAAGTTTTAATTTTTTTTTAATTTTCAACAAATATATATTACATATTCAAAATTTTTTTAAACAAAAGATAGTAAAAATAATTGATAAAAAATATTTTTTTTAAATATTTCTCAAAAAAGAAAAATATCTATATATTTTTTAATGTTCTTTTTCATGATTTGCACTGGTTGTAAGTATATTAGTTGGAATAGTATATAGTTTCACTTTTTTATATCAAATATAAAGAAGTTAAAATATAAAGGAGTGAAGAGCTTTCTTATTTCCTTTTGTCCTTTCAAAACTATTTAACAAAAGATCATGATCATTACCATAATGATGATAGTTATGGTAATCATCATCATGATGAGTTTATCTCATAATTACAATAATTTTGATGATGATGATTTTATCATTATGATCATCAATCAATCATTTAGGTATTCAGTGGATAGTTTCCTGGATAAAAATAAAGATGATTTGTACCAAGACTTTAAAAGAATGCTTTACAACAGGTATGTTTCACTTTTGTTTTTGTCTTATAAAAAAAAATTAATTAAATATATAATAAAATAGAATTCAATAAATATATGTTTAGTATTTTTGAGACTTAAACAACATTGTATTTATACAATGTCGTTTAAGTCACAGGTAAAATGGAATTTTTTTGAAAATATTTTTGATTCATGTAATTTTTTACCTCTAAAAATTTTCTGCTCTTACTGAAAAAATTTTAATTTTTATTTGTGAATTCAAAGTTTATTTATTCTAGTTTATAAACTTACTCAATGTTTGTTAGTATTACTATTGTCTTTTATTACCTGTCAGCAGCTTTCAAAAGAGTCTCTTAGTATAAATAAATATTTTTTTTGTTTTCATACTTTTGCAAAAATATGAAAAGATATGATGTCTTGCTCTCCCCCTCCCCCACATTTGTCAGTAAATAACTGAGTTTTGTTCGACTTAAAATTCATAAGTCACTGCAAGTGCCAATCTGTTGCAGCAGTGAGACCAAATTCAAGAATGGCTGCCTGTTCTAGGCTTCAAAAGCAAGCAGAGTGACTTAAGTATTTTGAGAAGGTTGAGTGGCTTAAGTCATTTTGGTGTTTAAGGTTGAGGATTGAAGTTCTTGTTTTGGTAGATCGACAGACTTACACAATGTATTCAGATACTGATTGTTTGAGTTATACCAGTGTTCTAAAGTTTTCTGGATTTGGATTGTTTCATCTGTGTTTCTAACAATAAGTGACAATTATAAAAAATAATATAAAGAAGGAACACTGGTTCAACTTTTTGTGATAATCTTTGACTTGATTTTTCTCAACAGTTTCCAGTTTAGGATGTTTAATGCTGGATCTTCTTGACTCGATGCATGGGTTTTGCTTGTGTCTCTGTTTTTAAGACTAGACAACTCATTCTATTATCTCCTAATGAGGGTACAGCTCTAAAACTCAGTTTTATGGTTCTGAGGCCGGCTGGTAGTCAGGTTTCCCGAACTCTGTGGTAGCTCTCAGAGAAGTTGATTTCATCAACAGTTGTAAAATATCAAAGTACTAACAGTGCCATGCTGCGCATTGATGGTGTCCCTGTTTGTACTTTTTGGTGTGCATTGCCAAGGCCACATCAGAGTCCTTTGCTAGGACTTAGGGTTTATTAATAGTAATGAGGCAATTGCTTGGGCTATTAAACAGTGTACTGAGTACTATCTATGTTTCGAGTCAAGTTCTTTCACAAATTTAAAAATGAATAAAGTAACAAAAACTATAAAACACAAAAAACCACAGTCATCACCAAGTTCGCTAAACCTATTATTCACTCATATTCGTGGTCTTTGAAGTAACTTTTCTTCTGTTGAGTCTTATCTCTTGCAAAGTTCACCAGACCTATATGCTCTTTGTGAGACTAATTTGAGTTCATCTGTCTCATCTTGTGATCTTAGTGTTGATGGTTATCTTTCTTTAATTTGTAAAGACTTTAATAGTCACATGCTTGGCCTGGGCATTTACATTTGTAAAAGTTCACCCATTTGTCAAGAAACTAGGTTTGAATCCACAGACTACTCTTTTATGTGCTTTCGTTTAGCACCACTTCACTCTATCACCTTTCTCTTTGTTCTATATCGCTCTCCTTCATGTCAAGACTGCACTCTACTTGATGTTATTTCTGATCATATTGACCAAGCCCTCTCTCTTTATCCATCAGCCAATATTGTTGTTGTCAGTGACTTTAATGTTCATCACACAAAATGGCTTGGTTCTAGTGTCAGTAACTCTGCAGGCATTAAAGCCCACAACTTTTGCCTTTCTCAATCCCTAACTCAAATAATCAACTTTCCAACTCCTTTTCCAGACAAACCAAATCATTTACCTTCTCTACTCAACTTGTGTCTTGTTTCTGATCCTAGTCAGTGCTCAGTTTTTCCACATTCACCCTTAGGTGCCTCTGATCACAGTTTGATCTCTCTAAAACTATTATCTCATTCTTCTTTATCATCAGACTCCCCCTATCATCTCAAATCTTACAACTACCGTAAAGCTGACTGGGACTCTTTCCGTGATTTTCTTTGTGATGGCCCTTGGGTAGAAATCTTTCGTCTTCCTGTTGACAAATGTGCTTTTGTTTAGGTGGATTCAGGCTGGCATGGAATCCTTTATTCCCTCTCGACGATTCCAGGTCAAGCCTCACTTTTCTCCATGGTTTTTCTCACATTGTGCTACTGCAATTCCCAATCGAAACCATTACTTCCATATCTATCACCAAAACAATTCTCCAGAAAACAGACATCTGTTTATTACTGCTATGAGCCATTGTAAAAAAGTTTTATCTAACGCCAAAGCCCGCTATTCTCAGATCACAAAATCTCATATTTCATCTCAAAAATTAGGCTCTCATGACTTCTGGATAATCTTTAATAGTATCAATAATAAGGGCAAGTCTGTAATTCCACCTCTTTTGTATGGTTCAGACTTTGTCACCTTACCTAAAGACAAAACTGAATTGTTTGCTAAGAACTTTTCATCAATATCATCACTTGACTTCACTAGTTGCTTTCTACCTGATATAGCTGTCAAACAGGTTGATCCATTGCTCGACATCCATATCACTCCAGCTTCTGTATCTATAGTGATTTCCCGCTTAGACTCTTCTACAGCTTGCGGCCAGGATAACATACCTGTTATAGTCTTGCAAGTGTTCTCAGGAGCTGTCGTCTATCCTTTCAAAACTATTCAACAAGTGCTTATCAGAGTCTTGTTTTCAAGCCTGCTGGAAAGCAGCATCTGTTATCCCTATTTTTAAAAATTCTGGAGAGCGATCTGATTCGTCTAACTACCATCCCATTAGTCTTCTTCCTATCATAAGCAAAGTTTTTGAATCTTTAATTAACAAACACTTAATCTCTCATCTTGAATATAATAACTTACTTTCTGATCATCAATATGGATTTCAATCTTCTCGTTCTACAGGTGATTTGCTTACAGTAATAACCGATAGGTTTTATCACACATTAGATAAAGGTGGAGAGGTTAAGGCCATCGCTCTTGACATTTCTAAAGCGTTTGATAAAGTTTGGCATGCTGGTCTTCTCCATAAGCTTTCTTCTTACGGTGTATCTGGAAATATCTCTAATATTATTAAATCCTTCCTTTCCAATCGTAATATAAAAGTTGTCCTTGATGGATAGTATTCTTCTTCTTATTCTGTAACCTCAGGGGTTCCTTAAGGTTCAATCCTTGGCCCTATACTTTTTTTAATTTACATTAAAGATCTTCCAGATATTCTCACATCTAAGGTGGCATTGTTCACTGATGATACTATTATTTATTCTTGTGATATAGGTCTTTGCCGAGACAATGGATTGATGGTGATGCGCAAAAAAACTACCGCACAGTTAGACAAAGTCAGTAAAATATAATTGAGATATTTAAAAAGATCGGATTTCAAATAGAGATTCAAACCAATTTAAACAGTGTTAATTTTCTTGACGTAACTTTTAATCTTCAAAAAAAACTCCTATCAACCTTTTAAAAAACAAAATGACCAACTGCTCTACATCCACACCGAATCAAACCACCCGCCCCAAGTTCTTAAGCAGATCCCTCTCTCCATTAATGATCGATTATAGAAAAATTCTTCCAATGAAAAAATATTTAATTTAGGACAAGACAAGTGCAACTCCACAAAATGTTGACCAAGCTGTATTTCGCTATCAATATTTTGTGGCGAATCCTTTGTTGTCGATCACAGCCTTGCATTTTTGAGGCATAGATTCAATCAGGTGATCAATGAAACTTTGTGAAGTCGCTGTCCAGGCCTTTTGGATTTGTTCAAACAGTTGATCCTTATTACAAACAGCTTCACGATTAATTCTGCGGTTGACGATCTCCCACAGGTTCTCGATAGGGTTGAGATCCGGAGATTGAGGCGGCCAATCCATCACCATAGGCGGTTCTCTTGAAATCACTACTTGACTACTTTTGCATTGTGTTTCAAATCGTTGTCTTGCTGAAAAACCCATTTTATTGGCATGTTCCATTCAGCATGAGGTAACATAACATCTTTCAGGATATTTTTACATGAAACGGTTCATTATTCCATCAATTCGATGTATTGGACCTAGACCGTTAGCAGAAAAACACCCTCAGACCATTACATTGCCTCCACCATGCTTCATTTATTCTTATGGCGTTAACGTAATTGCTCCCAATGATGTTGAACCATCACTGAACAGGACAGTTTGTCATTTCTGCACATTCCAGTAAATATAAGATGTAGCAAACAGTAGTCTTTTCTTCTGGTTCTTTAATTAAATCAGCGGTTTCTTTGCAGGGCGTCGAAAAAACAATCCGGCTTCAACAGCACGTCGTCTGATTGTTCGGTCCAATACAGGCAGCTCTAATTGCTTTTGTACCTCAACTGATGATATCCAGGGATCCTTCTTGATGGATCTGACGATCATAGAATCCTCTCTAGAAGTGGTGGAATGCGGTCTTTCACCTTTGTTATCTACTGCCAACTTCCCCTTAGAATGATATTTGGAACATAGTCTTGGTATGGTCCATTTTTTCAGGTGATATTTATCACAAATACTTTTTTGTGACATTCCACTTACGTAATCTCCAATAATTTTCATTCTTAGTTCCAATCCAAGACTGTCGGGAGCCATTTTTGCACTTGGATGCTTCTGAATGTTTCTGGATACTTCTGGATGGTTCTGGATGTTTCCAGATGCATCTTCTGGAAACTTCTGCGTGCTTCTGGAAACTTCTGGAAACCTCTGGATACTTCCTTTAATTATTAAAAAACTTCCGTGACATTGACACGGACCAGAGTTAAGAAAATGAAACAAACCAAAAAAGTTGTACTTGTTTTGTCCACTGCAAAATGGCACTTTTCAACGAAATTCTGCCTGTGTGCTGTCACCTGTCAGCTGATTGCTTGTGTAATGGCATGCTATGACTCCAGGCTCCTAAACTGTTTGCTGTGGTAGTATAGTTCGTTTTGTTTTTAAGACATG